GGTACCACGGACACAAACTCAACGGGGTTGTCGATAACTGTGATCTTGTCCAGCCGATATGGGAAAAGCTTCATCCCATCTTCGTCCAAGTTGGGGACGGCATGCCACTCCTTGGGTGACGTAAACCCACCCGCTCAGTGGGCGACACGATTACCAACCCGGGGCGGCGAGGACGCTCAATAAGATGCCCTCACACCACATCAAGCCTCAACAAACAAATGCTTATATAAATAGCAAGCATGTATAAGCTGAAAAGACTATACGAAATCTAATTTCTTATTCGATCTCTTCTTGCATTATGCGATTTTTGCGATTTCACGATTACGAAATCTTTGTTTGCTTGTTTGGCTAATGTAGCCGGATACTATCTGTCTGAATGGCTAATGCGTAGTCAATATCTCATGTACGAAGGGCTAGTCTGTAGTCATAAAGCGTATTGTCTATCGATTTTTACTTTACTAACTTTTATGCGAATATACATTCTTTTTAATCTACAACATGCTTGCTAATAATCATACAATAGACTAGCTTGAATCTGGAATGCTAACTTTCCATTTGGCGTATGCTTTACTAACTTTCGGACTGAATACGTCACGACCAAGCGCAAAGCGGATTTTTACTAAACTTACTCAATACTCAACATTCAACTCCGAGAATTCAATTACGGAGTTTACTATAATTATACGGCTAAAACCTCCAACTTGCCGAGGAAACTGATTTACATCACCTTAACCTCGAGTTATTCGACTGTTGGGCGAGCTCAGTCGATTACTCCGGCCTAATTCTCCCAAGCTTTGCATTCATATACACGTCAATTAGTACTAAATACAATACTATTACCGAAGGGCGACGTCACTTTCGATATAAATTGCCATAGCCTAAAGCTTAAGCTTATCGAAGACGGTCAAAAACTTGCTATTTTTAGAAGTCAGAAGGGGAGGAAGTATTCACTTTACGGCTAGGAGCACATAGACACTAGTTTGGAGCAATTCTGCACACTTAGTCCGGTATCTGTGATTCGTCGGCAGTATTCCAGCCCGAAACAAAATCGAAGTAGGAATGCTCCCTATTGCTAAATACCTCAGTGCTGAGAATTAATTTTGAATTTGGACTACGTTTGTAGCGTAATCGGACGATAATATATTCACCCTCTTCGTCTCTCTCTTTTGTTTCTCTGCGTTTTAAAGGAAGTTCAATATAAGTAATGAACTTAAAAACCGAAGTGGGGCTTATATACTTTAGGACTTATAAGTCGCATTCACGGAATGCGATTTATAAGTCATTCCTGGAATGCACATTTATAAGTTGCATTCCTAGAATTCCCAATTTATAAGTCGCATTCCTAGAATGCAATTTATAAGTCGCATTTTTGCCTTGCGACGCGCCGACTTGGCGCTTGTCCGATCTTTCGGGCCTTTTTAGCATGTATGACTTTCAAATACTCTTAACCAACTGCGAATAGGCCATCTATGTGCCGGGAATTTACGGGGTGTAACAGAGTTAAGATGTATAAAACAAATTAATGTAAAATTTTTGGAGATACAATATGTTTTAAAAAAGAAAAACAACTAATAAATTGACATCATTCCTATTTTGATGGATTGGTACAAGACCCGATAAAGAGAAAAGATGAAATGATTAACGAGACAGAATTTGTTTTTCTGTTTTATAGCATCGCACAATAGAGATATTGTAACGCTACATCAAACATACCAACGATCAATTAAAAAACGATACGTCCAGAACCAATCTTCACTTGTGGGACGGGATTCTTCTTTCTGTCAATTATGCATGGAAGTGTATCCACAAAGATACAAAAGAATGCAGAATAAATCATTATATCAACAATTAAATTCAGATAACAGTTTAATTATGTATTGAATATGCCATCTATGATCTACATAAATGAATATTACAACATTATAGACTATCTCCTCCTTCGCATAGTCTAATGGAAAAAACTCATAAATATACAATATAACAAATAATATTATAAATATTTCAGTATTTTTAAGTTTTAAAATATAACAATAGTTTTTTTTATAAAACATAATAACATATGGGAAAAAATAAAAATACCGTAAAATTTTTTACCTCTTAAATTACATTAGCAGCGTTTCAACCTTCTCCTTATATTTCTCTTAAACTGTTTCAATCCATGTTTATCATATCAACGGATTTTCTCTCAACTTCTATTTTTAAATTCTTTAGAAGTAATTCTACAAATATAAAAAATCAATTTATATATTGTTTTCATTCAAGAAAAACAAACAACTATAACAAATGTAAAAAAATCAAAATTATATACTGTTTTCATTCAAAGAAAATAAATAACCATAAAAAATATTAGAAAATCAAATTATATCTTGTTTTCATTCAAAGAAAAACAAATAACCACCACAAATATAAATAAAACAAATTATATATTGTTTTCACATTCAAAAAAACAAACCCAACTATCACAAATGTAAATAAACCAAATTATATAGTGTTTTCATTCCAAAAAAAAAAAACAACAACTATCACAAATGTAAATAAACTAAATTATATATTATTTTCATTCGACAAAAAAATGAAAGTGTGTTATTACGTGATAACCGATATCTTCCTAAAGTGTAAAAAAATGCCGCACTATTCACCAATGATAAAAAATTAATTTTTATTATTTGATATATATTAATAAATATGATTTTATTTATTTATATTGTATTTTTCTAATCTAATGTCACAGACCAAACCTCCTGGTAATCGTCATGGACATACCCATTATGGCCCATTGTTATGAACTTTGGGATTTCGAAGCCCAAAGTCATATTTACTTGACGCGGAATGAACTTCCATGTATGATGACTAAAGAGTACTGAATTGATTGAATTTAGTTAGGTTTTAACTTTTTAAGTGTTAGAACTTAATTTATATTGAATAAAAATAATTATTTATAATTAAAAAAAGTTAATAGATTAATTAAAGCAAAGTAATTGTTATGCCAAAATAAGTTAAACGGAATAAGTTGGACAATCTTAACTTGTACTTTGAACTTAAGCAACAACTTAAGGGAATTACTTTGAATTTTGCCAAACACTTTAAAAAGCTTAGAAGAACTTTAAAAAGCAACTTTTAAGTTCATCTAAACAGGCTCTAAGGACCATTTGATCATGAAAACTACTCACATTTTTTTAATAATTTTATATTTTATTTGTAAATTAATGTTTAGTCAAGAAAATTTCAATTGCTATTTGAAAGTGTATTTCAAATTTGAAAATAGTTGATAATGTATTTCCCAACTCACTTTCACTTTTGAATTCGTATTTAAGTGTATTCAAAGCAGAGACAATATTTCAAATATTTTTTTACAAAAAAATTTAACTAAACACTAATTTCATCTTTAACTCTAACTCCATAAATTCTAAATAAAAATTGAAAATATTTAAAATTTATGGGTAAATACCTACTAAATCTTTCAATTATTAGACTTAACTTGAAGATTGATTTTTAAAAAAATTTATAAAATAAGATTCAGATGAATCGAATCTAAACCAAAGTGTCGAAATTATAGTGTTTTATATTTCAAAATCTTTAAACAATATATTAGTGGAACTTTAAATAGAAAAAAAAACGATCTAATGAAGATTCATACAGTTGATCATCACTGTCTTTGTTTTAATTTATGTGATAATATTTGATTGGACACAAAATTTAAGAAGAAAGAAATTTTTTAAACTTATCACCCATTATTTTCATGTTTTAACTATTTATCAAATAAATTAAATTACCGATAATTTAATTAATTTAAAATTAAATTATTATACAATATAAAAATATATTATTTTTAAAATAAATTAAATATATATTAAACGAATTAAAAATAAAGAATCTCACGTAAATTCAGACAGGGAGCGTAATAAGCTATACTCTCGCGTAAAGTAAAACAGAGAGTGCATCTATTTTTCTGCACATTTTTTTAACTTGTGCAAACATTACTTTTATCTTCGGAAAATAATAAGCTGTTAAGAAATATTGAAAATCACAAAAATTTTTGTAGCTTGAGGCATGTTTATGATACTATTTTTAAGGATATTTCATCCAAGCGTGTATATTCTCTAAAATTCAACAAGTTCTTCTGGTATAAAATTAAAGTTGGAAATTTAACAAAATTTTAAATTAATAGAAAATCAAGTATTTATAAAATATAGGAGAAAGAATTCTTCTTCTTGTTCCACAACCTCAAAATGAAGTGTAAGTCCACAATTTGTTGTAGAAGAAATGGACATCTTATATCTCTAACCCTATGGATGAAAATAGATAGATATATATATATAGGTGAGAAAACTGTCTAAATAAGATGGTTGAATACACAAAAATATAATGATCCTTAACATACAAATCATCTTTTACTGTCAATAAATGAAAATAATAATTAATGACAATAAAAGAGGAGTTATAATCTGTTAAAATAGGTCAAATGAAACGTTATGCAACTGCCAAATTTCACATAATGAATGCCTCTAAGGCAATTCAATCTGGCACCGATTGTGGCTAAAATATAAATGTAACTGTTAGAAAATAATAATTTTATTTGAGATACTAAAATAATTATTTATTCCAACACCAAGCATCATATTTATTTTGTGGTCTATATTTCACGAGTAGTATGATTATGTTAACTAGTGATAATTAAGAACAAATTGTACCATTTTAAATTCAGAATTAAGATGATTAATTAATTAAAAAAAATAAAATATATAATAACATACGTAATGTAATTTCACAAGCAAATTTAAAGAGAATAAAGATTTATATGCATTATTTTATCTTGTGAAGTTAAAAAATTATTTTTAATACACTTCCGGAAGCTAGAATATGAATATTCTTTTTTCTTAATTAATAAGCCTAAACGTATAGTGTAGGACTTGTCAGAAAATGTGAAGCAGTGGGATTTATTTGTCCCTTTCTTTGTTCATTATTTAATGTTAAAATAAATCGCCAAGTCCAAATCAAATGTCTGGGTGGTGTAGTCGGTTATCACGCTGGTCTCACACACTAGGGTCCCCAGTTCGAACCTGAAACAGACATTCCTTTATTTTCTTTGTTTCCCTCTATATCATCTATTTTTACTTTTATTTATGGGTAAATTTATAGCTTGTTTGACCTTAAGTTTTGGAAGTTAAAAGTGCTTATTATTATTATTATATTGTTAGTTTAAAAGTAAGGTGTTTAGTCAAACTTTTGAGAGAAAATATGTATTTTTGGGAGTAGCAAAATTATTTTTCGGGAAACACTAATTGCGCTCAAAAGTATTCTTAAGAATGTCCAGATTCAAACACAAATTACTTTTCAGCACAACTACTTTCTAAAAAATACTTCTCAAAATAAATTAATTTTAGAAATTTGATCAAACATATTATTAATGTTACAAGATAGTTAACATGTGAATAAAATCCAACGCAAATAAGACTTTATGTGTGTGGATATGAATTGATTGGTAATTTAGAAAATAACAACAATTGAAGTTGACATAATGGAATAATTAGAGAAACAACCTAATATTATTTGAAAAAATCTCCAAATATTCTTTTTAATTTGAAAAAATATGTACAAACAAGCGGGTCAAGGTCTATGCACATAATATGCTCTATTTTGGGTACCCAAAGATACACATTTAACTTTACTTCTCTTATGTTCTTAAACACATTTGATGAAAACCCATTAATTTCATTAGTATTATACAACACACAATTTCCAATTTTAATGAACAAATCAATATTGAAATTACAAAATAATATTAAAATGTCTGTGCTTTTCTTTTTTCTTTTTATGGCCAATATATAGTAATAATTTCACACGAGTGTCTTGCACTTTGACGTTTTTGGGTCCCGCGCCCAGGAAGCAGATACTTCCGCCCATTCACTCCCGGCGCATTATAGCTAGCACCCGTCTTTATATCCAGCAAAACCTCACCCGGATATCAGGAAAAGCTTACGTTGAGATATCCCCGTGCAAGCAGACACAGCTACAAGACGTTAGCTGGGCCCTGAAAATACCCTCCGTCAAACGGATTCAACAGTCCCCGCCAAAATAGTCGCCAAATTGATCACCATTCCGTCAACTCCGACGTCTCCGTTTGGTGCGCCTAACGGCAATCATGTGGTCCCACAATCGGCTTCTGGAACGGCCACGCGCACTGACCCGGACACTGACTCGCCGAGTTACCCACCCAAGCGTATGCAAATTTACTCCCTTTCTTCACGCGAGTCGACCCGTGCATGCCACACCGGTTCATGCAGAAATTCCTCTACACTACATCCTTTGCCGTCAACACGACGGCGATGGAATTGGCCTGAGTAGCCCTCGAGGCCAATGATTCGAGTTGAGGGTCTTTCAAATATTTCCCAAGGAATATTTCTCGTCGAATATCTGTTTACTGGCAGCGGCGGAAGCGCCACCTTTGTATGCCTCGGTGGTGCGCCACCATGACGACGGAAGCGGGAGCGTAATTTTTCTTGCTCTTAGTGCTAAGAGATTGGATGAAATCGACGATAATCAGACGTTGTGCAGGGTGAATTTTCCATACCATATAAGATTAATAGTGACTTTTCCCTTTAAGAGAGCCCCTTTGTATTTTTAGGACAAGGGGTTTTTCTTTAACTAGAGCAAGTATTCTTGAATTGGCTGACGAAGGACTAGGGACAAGAACAAAGAGTGAAAATAGTAAGAGAAAAACGGTGATCATAGGGTTAGAGGATCTCATTTGATAAAGAACGTATTGTTTTTTTTTTTCTTTTCACAGATGTGTTTGACAATAGAATTATGTCTCTCAATACATATATATAAGAACATGAGTTGGGGAAGGTGGTGAGAAAGTATTAATTTAAAAAGGCAAAGCTGATTTGGTTTTGTTGAATAGGTGATGAGCATGTTGGGGGCCTGAAAATAATTTAAGTATGAGAAAAAAAAAATGACGATTGAACAGTTGACCTAAAGAATATTAATGAGCAAATTGCAATTTTAGGTTTTAAAACCGTGGATATAGCAGTAGCTAGTATCCAAAAATACAATTACAAAAATATACAATAGCTAGTTCGGAAAGATGGTAACAGGTGAAGGTGTTTTATGGGTAAGGGAGAACATTTCAGATTAGTTAGACAATTCTTCCTATAGATATATCATGCTCTATTTAGGAACATTTTGTCTACTCTTGTGCGTGTCATCAATAATTATTAGGTTTAAAGTGAGTGCAGTGTCAATCAATATATATATATATATATATATATATATATATATATATATATATATATATATATATATATATATATATATATAAATAAATATATATATAAAGGTTACTTAAGAGTTAAAAAATAAATTTTTAAATTTTTTTTAAAATATAACACTCTAAATCTATCTATCTATATATAAAAAGAGAAAAAATATATAGGCTTTAGGCTCCTTCAAAACGTCAATTTTAATTTAGATTAAAATTAACATGCTAAGATAAAGCCTTCATATTTTCTCAGTTTTTAGATGATTTCCTTTTCTTAACTTGTAGTTTTCTTGGTAATTGATTATGAATATAAATATCATTTTTCCTCTAAATAATAGTAAATAGGTTGCATTAAAACTAATTAAAGGTTAGATCATTTGTAATTATAATAGTTTTAATGTGTATCAATCTCTAAATAATTATATGTTAATTTTTTTAATTTTTTTAATTTTTTTAATTTTTTTATTATTTTTGGTGCTAATTCTCGTACCTCTTCATATTACATTTGGATTCATCTTTTTTAGTCTTTCTTCATTTTCTACTTTTAAAATTTTGGTCTTGTGAATTTTTTTTATAATTTATTTTGTGTAAAGTCCCAAAGTCCTCTTTTATCTCACTTAATTATGATGAAAAACTATTTTTAGAGCCTTTCCCCTTCCTACAGAAAATAATTGGCAATTCAATTAATTCATCACCTATAACTTAAATATAATTGCAATATTGACAACACTAAAAATAATAGGCATAGAAATATTACTCAAGTACCTATTAATTTTTTTAATTTTTTTAATTTTTTTAATTTTTTTAATTTTTTTATATATATATATAAAAAAATTAAAAAAATTAAAAAAATTAAAAAAATTAAAAAAATTAAAAAAATTAAAAAAATTAAAAATATTTTTATTTTCTTTTTTGCGAGATAAGAAGGTATATGCATGATGATGTTATAAGGCTTGGTGATGCTGAATATTTGATGGATTATTCTTTTGTTCAAGTGAGTGCTACTCTCAACTACTCTTCTTTTATACCAATTAGTATTTTGAATTACCTTAAATATAAAGTTTAATTTCTATTATCCCTCAATTATTAATTAGAGGTTTTAAATTAAACTCTTGAGAACAAAATCGTATTTAAAAATATAATAATTTATCCAAAAGTGAATTACCCTACATGAACTCACCAAACTCCATCAATCCCCTCAAATATAAGTACCAATACAGAATTGAAAAAAAAATAATCGCTATTTAATATTAATTTTGGGATAATGCTAGAAAGATGAAAATGGAGTGAAGCGAAGAAAAATGTAAAAATATAAATTATGAGAGGTGATTAGTGATTTGAAAGAGGCAGAAGAAACTAAAAATGATTTAAAATAAAAAGAAGAAAAACGAAACACAAAAAATAATTGAAAAAACTGATAAAAAATTTTAACCGAAAAGAAGATAATTTAAGTTTTATCAAAATTTTCTTTAATGAAGTGTACATTTCTAACGATATAAAGTGAGAAAAAATGTTCTTAAGTTTGTTTTTTAAAGAAAAATCTTGAAGTAGAACAAAAAAATTAGCGTGGTGATTGTGTTGTCACGACTTCTTCTTTTTATTTTTCTTAAAATTTGTTTGGTTTTAAAATTTTAGTTTTCGATTTTAATATTATTAACATTTTTAAAAAAAAAAAAAACGGAAAAAAGAAAGATTTTTTTTATTTTTTGAGTTAGAATTATATATTTAACTTTTTATTTTTTTTAGTTATTTATTAATTTGAAATTAAAGATTTGATTTTTTTATATTTTTGATCTTTTTATTTTAAAAATTTTATAAGTCTTTTGCGGCTTAAATTTCAATATTATTTGATTGTAGATACAATTTAAGATTTTTTAAATTGTGTATACTTAAATTTTTGCTTTATTTTAAAAAATAATTTCATAAATTAAGTAATTTTTATAACCATGCGAGCGTGGAAAAATTTACTAGTTGAGAAATAAAGGAAAATGAAATTTGAAATAGGCTTTTTTTCAATAAAAAGGAATGTTGTGTCTCATTGGATAGAAAAAGAAAGATTAATGTGTTTATATATAGAAATATTTTTATTAGTTATTAAAGTTGAAAAGGAGATTCTTCTCTCATTATTTGTCATCAGCCCAGCTTGACTACGGTAGTAAATGCGGTGGTGTCTTGAGGAATTCTTATAAGCGGTGTCACAATTTTAAAAGATGAGTAAATGAAAGAGGCAGAGTAGATTCAAAAACAATAAATGAGGCTAAGTGAGCTTGAACCCAAACCTTTAACATTAAAGAGGAAGTGTGTAACCATCAAACCAATGCACAATTTTGTAAATATGGTGTCTTTAGTATTTGTACTTTATATTTCATTTTTTATTATTTATATATATTATATTTATTAAAATAATTCGACGAAACGGTGTCATGTGACACCCCTCGGGTAAAGGTAAATCTTCCCCTGAGTAAATGGACAGGTTGGGCTGGATTTAGACGGGTTAAAATGAGCCCCGGAGTTAATAAACGCCCAAAGTTACTTGAAATTTTGAGAGTGGACTAAATACAAAATATGTAATCAGATTAGTTGACTCTATTCATTACAGTGTTTGATTATTCTTTTATAATCTTTCAATAACTTATAAACTTTTTTTCTTTATTAAGACTAAATATAATATATTTAAATAAAATAAAAATTATTTTGACAAGATTTCATATGAATCAATTTGGCTAGATATTATCCCAAATTTTGATGAATCAAAATGAATTGATTTAAAATGAGCTGAGCAATAAATAAGCTGATTAATTATCAGCCCAA